ATAACCACTACCGCCAAAACAACAAGGCGACCTGTTTGGCTTCCCTCCTCCCCCCCTCCTCCTCCGTCCTTTTCTCATCTGCGGGGGGGGGCGGCAACGGTGCGGACGGTGCGGAGGAGCAGCAGCGCGTGGTCTGCCCAAACATACAAACATTTAGTCAGACCAGCCTAAGGTCTCGATTTTCCTCACCCCCTGTCGCCCACAAACTCTTTTGCCCGCTCTGCGCTGTAGATGGCAAGGGGGGGAGGAGGGAGGGGGAATTTTCCTTTTGACAGAGATAGAGACTGTCTCTTGGGGACTGTCTAAAATCTGGAGATATTTCAATTTTTTCCATTTTTTTCTGTTAAAGTTTCCAATTTTCCGGAAAGTTTTCGGTTTTTAATGTTCCTAGCTGGTGCAGGGAAGGAGGTGGGGGGTCTGCTGGAAGGACTCGCGGGCGGCCCTCCTCGCGGTGCGACACGACAGCGCGTGATAAACAACCGCGAGGATGACGAGCCGAGGGCGTTGCACCACGACGCCATACCGCCGCGCACCTTCCCGTCAACAATAACACAATTATCGCGCGCACTTGTGTGGCGCGGCGCGGCGGGTCAGGAGGTCGAGAGTTCGCCGCCGCGCCGGGGCGAGCGGCTCCTTCGGCGGCGCGACCCGGCGGCCCGAGCCAAATGGACGCACTCCGCTGCTCCTAGTCCGGCGCGCCGCGGTGCCAAGTGGGTGGACACATGTGTCCGTCTCGGCCGCCGCCCCGCCCCGCCCCGCCGCGAGCCTCGTGGTGCTGATGCTGCGCTAGGTGCCGGGCGGCGGCGCGTTGCGTTGCGGCGACCCCCGCACCCTCCTGCCTCCTGCCCTGCCCTCGCCCGGCTCAGCTGTTGCCGCCGCCGCCTCCGCCCCCTCCCCCTCCCATCAAAGTGGTTTCACATCCAACCCCGGCTCCGCCTCCACCCCTACCTCAACCTCCGCCTCCACCCCTAGCATGCCTTCCGCCTCCACCTCTAGCATGACCTCCACCTCTAGCATGACCTCCACCCCTAGCATGACCTCTGCCTCCAG